TGCACTGAGTCAGGAAAAGATCTTCGACCTCTATCTTTGGAACGAGGTTGGGAATGTTGCAGCTTTCTGTCAAGGTTGCACTCGAAGTTCTGGTGGGTCCCAGAGCACGGCTTGCGCAGGTCTTGCAGGAGGAGGGGGACGGTGGCAAAGTCGTGGCAGCGTTCTCTGTACCAGTGGTGGGTGTGCTTCCCTTTGTTATTCGAGTCTTCGACTCTTTGACTTTTCAGGTCTGCGAGCCGAAAGCAATTCATTCAGATGTTCCTTTTCGAACATATGCTCTGGCCTTGGCAGATGCGGAAAGCGTCGGGAATGCAGATGTGGGAGTGTAGAAAGGTCGCAGGAGTTCACATACATGAAGTCATGAGGGCATGACCCGAGCGGTTTCCTGCAGCTGCTCACAGCCCAGGTCATGAAGATGCGTTCGAAGAAGCACTTTCCTGAGAATGGATGTGTTGGTGCTGCTAATGTAGTGCTCCGGCAGGGCGGAATGTCGATGGTCTGAAGTCGGGCAGCTTAAGTTTCCGGGTCTGGATTTCGGGTTAGGTTTTTGGCAGTTGGTGCAGGGTCTGGTTTGCCTTCGAAGAAGTTTCGGCGAGCTTCTCCTTAGTAACTCCTTAGAGTACGTGGCATCATCAGCATCACTCGGGTCAGGATTTCCACGCCCGCCTTTTCTGCAGTCCTGCGTTTGATTAATCCACGAGAGGGTGCGCGCATCATCAGCAGCAGCGGGGTCAGTGTTTTCACACCCAACTTGTCCGCGGCCCTCCATTCGACAAAGGTTTCTGTCCCAATCCACGAGCGTACGTGCCCTTCGGGCCTGCCCGGAGAGCACATCATCCGCATCAGCTCCATTTGACAGGGAATTTCGCCCCAACCGACGAGGGCATGCGATGACCGAAGGGACTGACTAGGTGTGCGCGCATCATCAGCATCAGCTGGGTTACTGTTTCTACACCCGACTTTTCCGCAGTCTTCGACCCAATCCAGCAGAGTATATGATTGAGCCCACCCGAGGTGCGCATCATGAGCATCAGCCGGGCTAGGGTGTCCACACCTGAACTTGTCTGCAGCCTTCCATTTGATAAAGATTTCTGTCCCAATCCACCAGAGTATGCCCCGGCAAAGAGCATCATCAGCATCAGCCGAGTCAGGATTCATAACCCTGTTTTTTTTTTTTGCATGCCTTGCCTTTGACAACGAATTCCGTCCCAATCAACGAGGGCAGGGCATGCGATGATTGATCATGCGCGCATCATCAGCATCAGCCGGGTGACGGTTTCCCACGCAGGACTTTCCACAGTCTCCGTGGTTCGCCACCCAACAGAAGCGCGTCCACGTGATGAGGTCTTTGCGCGAAGCTTCCATGGAAGAGCAGTTCCGCAAATCGCTTGTCAGCGACCTACTGATGTGCACATATCATGTCCTTCAACTACGTGTTGGATACACTGAGTTCAGCCTCTTGAACCTACCGGAACATGCGGGTGTACAGACCTTGGACGACTTGCACCTCTTGTGGCTTGAACACTCTTCGTGATCTGATTGGAAGGTTCTTCCCCTCCAAGAGGTCCTGGAAGACAGCCAGTTTTACTACATTGTGATGGAGCAGGCCCCTCCGATTTGATCATGCTCAGACCACCCAGAAGCAAGTTCTTGTCGAGGCTACTGGAGGTTCCTTCTTTGGTGGCTTGCTGACAGAGTTTGAGGCTGGAGTACACTAGCAGCTAGCAGTAGCATACCATCATCTGTAGGGCTCGCTCGGGTAGAGAGATGTCGAATGTAGAGACTATGTCGCTGCGCAGAGTATGACAAGAGAGACCTGTTAAGAACTACAGCGGACGATGTCGGAAGGACGGGGTAATGCCACCAGCAGAAGTTCGCCGGTTGATGCGCGGCATCCTTGAGGCGTGCATGCTGCACCGCTTTCCGTCCATCAGCTCAGCGCTTGATGTGATGCGAAGGCGATCGGACACGTTCACGAACAGGGTATGATCCACCGTGATCTCAAACCGGACAACCTGGTCATGCGACTATGCGTGGGCCCTTGGAGCGTGAACTGCGACGTTGCGCTTGCGGGAGCGGAAGCAATGCATGCCAGTGCCGAGGCGACGATGAACTGAGTCCAACAGGCAAGTCTCGTCAAGTAGCGATCATCGACTTTGACCATGCCGATCCGGCACTGCACTCAATGTCGTAGTTTAGTACCTGGGCGTCTTGCTCCGGCTGTGTGGCATGCCTCTGTCTTGACAGTGTAGGACACGTTCATGACTTCGTCTACCATGCTCTAAGGATTATAAAGCAACCGCGAAGACTCCCAGATCTTGCGAATACTTCTGTGGCACCGTGTATTTCAGCGCGTCGGGGCCCCAGTCATGAGATCCGTCAGGCCGCTGTCAGACGAAGCTGTCGCAGTGGCCTCCACAGTCTTCGGTCTCTGGGTATCGAACTTTCGCAAGTCCAAACCTCCGCCCCAAGATGGAAGACACCCTGCAGTGTTTCAGGCCGGAAGCCTTCCTCGGCTACTTCTCACCGGCTAGCGACCTCTACAGCATAGGCGGACAGAATGTTGTCTTTTGCAGGGCGGCTATCACAGATCCCGCAGGGATCATCCTGTACCTCTTGATGGCGGGAAAGATGCCCTTCGATAACTCGGTCTTTCAAGAGGCCAACAGGTTCAAAGAATGGAAGCGTTCTATTTGCATGACTCTGCCTGGGACAGGAAATGTCCGTGCTCCAGCAGTCACCGAAGAGCCGTGGATGGACTATGCACCCTTCTCGGAAAGCTGCCTCCAGCGGAATTCAGGCCTCCAAACGCCTGAGAGTGTTATTTGAGCTCTCAGGAATATCTACAAGCGCTTGAAAACAGAGCCGATCGATTGGAGGCGGGCTATGCGGCTGTACGATAGGGAAGGGCTCTTCCTCTTCCAGCCGCAGGGCATGCCCCCTGACAGGTGTGATCCGTGGCCAACGCAGCCTTCGCAGCCGCCTCAATGATGCATGTCACAGCCGGGAATGAGAACCATGTCACAAGAGAGAAGGCAGATCAGGCTCAGCGACACGAGAAAGTTGACCTCTTAACGACATGCGACATTCCTAGAACGCGAAAGCTCACCTTCGCGGGGAGCAAGCCCGCGAACTGACAAAGTCTCAATTTTCAGTTCTGAACGTCTAATCATTCTAATCTAACGCCAAGCAAGTCTTCTACCGCAAATTCATGTTTCGCTTTACTCTGCGAGCCGCAGGTGTTGCAGCTTCTGCCAATGGCTCCTGGCTTTTGAGCCAGGCAAAAGGCCAGCCTGCCACATCCTGCCACCAGGAATAGGACCATGCAGGAGTGCATGTACTTGCGTTGGTTGACACTGTGTTGATCGTGAGGCCATCATCAGCTGAAGAAGCGCTGCAGCACGAATGGTTTGTCACGGCACTCAGGTTAGCATGCTGGCTGCCTGACAAGCTACGTCGAGGGTGTGCCCAGTGGTTCACTGCCCCATGTCTGAGGCTTGATGATTTGTTCGGTGTGTGGGCTGTGACCTATGACCACGCCCGATTTTCTGGGAAGCATCTTCTGTCCAGACGCATGGTGGTAATGCAAACATGCTTGTCAGACGCATCCGAACGAAAGTCAGACATCCTGACGTGTTGTGATCTTCACCTTCACCTCAGCACTTGCTGAGAGCAGTCTGCCATGGACGTCCCTATCGCAGTATAGAAGCGGAGCAAAGTGACCGGGTCCTCGAACTGCTGAAGTTGAAAGTGCTTTGCGTCCAAGAGCTGCCGTGTCTGTTTTTTTTGGCATTTTCCTCCAAGACTGGCGGCTCTCACTGACGTCCTGGCCGTTGGCAGAGAGACTGTGGTGTATGTCCGGATGAAGACGCTTCCCGTCCGAAACTCCTAGCTTCTAGATCCTTCTGTGCAACGCAAAGCGTTGAGCATTGAGACCCAAGGGGGGGCTCCTTATGGTAACTTAAATCCTCATGTGTTGAAATACCGACACTGGCCTCCATGTAGAGTCCGCTCCGGAGTTGTTTTTCCTACCGTAGGGGTTAACATGAAGTGAAGGCATGTCCGGAAGAAATCGCGACCTGCAGAAAGGAGGCAACGAATAACTAAGCAACAAGACTGTCTCCGCATGGAGGTCACTGTCAGAGTTAATGGTTCTGTCGATCCGCTGCTGTGGCTCCGTCCAGGAGGCTTTCAGACTGGAGGCAGTGAGAAGCTAAGAAAGCTAAAGACATGTTCGCAAGTGAGATGGGTGACAAAGAATGTAGATGACTAGCTTTTGAAGTCTGAGAGCTTTCGGCAGTATGGCATGTTGGCAGTGACATGCTGCGACTCACATGATGTAACCATCGTGTTGCAGCTAGTTCACCTTGCCCCAGTGCGCCTTATTAGCTTCTGCGTCTGGTGCTAGAAGCTGACATGAAGCATCAGCGATGCAGCTCTTGCATGTAACATCTTTTTCTGCCGCAAGGGCCTTGTACCCAGCGGCTACCACCTCGGCATGTCGTGGGCTCTGGATGCCAGTCCTGTGTCTACTGCGGCGACATCCGATCAGCTGACGTTCATTTTTTGTCTGAGTATGTGAGCGGACACCATCAGTTGTATTGTTCAATCGCCGCATCAAAGACCAGAGCTGCATTCAAAGCGCCACTTCATGCTAGTGAAGGGCTGGAGCTGGCGAATCTCTCCAGAGATTTATGGAGCTCATCTCCTTTCCCTCGGGGGTTATGTGAGATGTGAGATCGAGTCGAGCTAAAGCACGTTCTTGTTCTGGTTGACGGATCAACCAAGCGTATGCCGCGTGCAACACGGAACACGGGCACCGCTTTATCGTGCGCAGAGTCTTCGATCTTGGTCCGCCATTCTTTTTGGCTGCATGCTCAGGGTAGAGTAGGGTGAAGTAGATTTGTCCCCGTTGCTCTCAGTTGGAGGCGGCAAGCTTCTTTCTGTCCGATATCCGACAAGTCCTTGTCACTCGCCAGGCTCGTCGTCTCTTTGAGAGTATGGAGGGATGGAAAAAGCTGCTGCTCGCAGCAGCAGGTGCAGCAGGCCAAGATGCCCCAAGCTTTGAGAAAAAAAATCGCTCCTCCTCGAAGCAGGCGCCAGCTGCGTCTTGTACTACCTCTTACGAGAAGAGGCAGACAAGCAGCCAGAGCCTCAGAGGTTTCAACCCCGAAGCGGTTCGAAGGGGAGCAGAAGCGCATTTCACCGAGGGTTGCTGATGCAGACGGCGAGGAGAAGGCTGCTCGGGAGTGCCCTGCCGCGCTTGCTGACGGCCATGCTCACGGCCATGTCCAGGAGAAGAAGGAGAAGAAGCTGACCCCAGAAGGAGAGCTGGCACAGGCACCACGTTGCTGTCAGCTGAGTCAGCTGTTCGCGTTTGAGTTGGAGCTTTGAAGCATGATGCTGACTTGGCGCAGGTGCAGCAGATCCTTTCCGAGATAGTATCCTCGCAAGAGCAGATGCTTGTGGACCGTGGCTTGTTTCAGCGGTTGACATCTCTCGCGAATCTGCTAGATGCGGCAGCAGGGCGCCGCAGAAGAGCAATAGTGGTCCTTGTGTGTCAATCCAATGCTATCCGATTCTCCCATCTCTTGCTAGCAGTGCACCGGTTTTTTGATCTCCCCAGAATGGACGCCCAAGATCGCCCAAGTATTCCTATTCTGCAAAGCTTACATCTCCGCCACGCCCTGGAAGCCAGGGCCACATGAAGAATCTGACCAGGGAGTTGATGACTGAGCAGCTGCCCCAGTGCTGGACATGTAACAAGGATACAGTGAGTCCAGGTGTTAGTTGATGCTCCCAAGACCGACTTGTGACAATTCAGTGAATACACGGCTCCTGCGCAGCCAAGCCTACAAGCACCAAGGAAGCTGAGTTTTGACCAGACCTACAAGCGGCTCAAGCAAGTGCAGCAAGCCTTGCTCGCTTGGTGCTTGAAGAGAGAGTTGTGAGCAATGTTAGCCCCCTGTTGTAGTAGCGACTAGTAGTTGAGCCAGGCCGGATGATCCTCTGGAGCGGTTGGAAGCTCGATCTTGGGTCGATGCAGTAGCAAGCAGCCAGCGCAATCGCAGTCTTTGTCGAATGCCGATCAGTTTGATTTTGAACTGCCGCTGGCCTGGAAGCGATGTGGGCCCAGGTACGGCCTCACTTTCCAGCAGTTCGATGCTTTGCTCGGCAAGCATCAGAACGATCCCAAGGCTGCATGCCCGGTTGGTGCCAGGTTGAGGTAAAGGTACTTGCAAAAGAAATGGTTTAACGCTCAGGTGAAGGAGGGCATCCATCACATCATGGGAATGCCAGTGAAGACCGACAGCCCTGCCGAGGTGCTTTGTCTGATGTGTCAATTTCTCCGCTGCAGACCGATAATGACATCCCCTGCATTCGTGCGCCTTTCGATTTTGTTGAGCACAACAGTGAAGTTCCTTTCAGGAGTCGGGTGGAGATTCACCAGGATTGAAGCTGTCAGTATGTAGTAGTGGTCGTGGTAGTGGGTAGTAGTAGTAGTAGTAGTAGTAGTAGTAGTAGTAGTAGTAGTAGCCGCCACAAGTGCTCAAGCGGCCGCGCTGAATGAGAGGTTTCGAACAGGCTTGGGGCGCTACTGCTGTGCTAGAGGTTCCTACCGGGCTCCTTTTCTGAACAGTAAAGGTTTGTGCCTCCCTCTACGCCATGGTCCTCTCCTTATTCTCACAGGAGCTGCTTTGAGCCGCCAGGTCCCAATTCCTGGGCCCAGACTCTGTTTAAAACATTGCATCGCTGGGTAGGCGGTAGGGTTTCCACGTCCGCGCAGTGGAGGGAGTCATTAGGCTTCTGTCTCTTGACGAAAGTAGCGGATGGCGCAATTGCCAGTGCACTCACAAAACTTTGCATCTCTTCGCAAGAATTCGTTCAAGACAGCATGTAGACGGACAATACGCAGTGACGGGCCCGTACCATACCGAGGGCAGGTCTTGACACCTACCCTGGTTGACCGTCTGGGGGTCCGACCCCCACCAACTCGAAGAGAGCTTCAGTCACAGACTGCTGACTCCCCTGCAAATGGCACAGCCTCCCGCAGGGCAGGACGACTAGAAAGATCCATTAGGGTAGTCTCGTGGAACGCGGGACACCTAGGTCAACAGCAATGGGGAGAATTAAAAACGTGGCTAGCAGCTGAAGCATCCCACCACTGTGACGTGCTCATCTTGCAGGAGACACACTGGACGGAGACAAGTGAATTCAGTGTTTCAGGTTGGTACTGTATTTCTTCGGCCTCAGCTTCTGCCAAACGAAGTCCCCCGCAGAAGCAGGGTGCCAAGCGTAAGTCCAGACAGGACTCGAAAGAGGGACCATCCACGACACGAGCGGATGGAGTTATGATTCTGTTCTCGCCCAAATTCGCAGCTAAGAGCCTTCGCTGGAAGGAATGGAGCCCAGGCCGAGTCCTTGAGGCTCGCGCGGACATTGCAGGAACCAGACTGGTCATTGTTGCTGTATATCAACATGCTTGGTCCTCGGCCAAGTCCATACAGTCTAACAAAGATGACCGCGCTCAGGTCCTGTCAGTCATGTCCAAGGTTGTCAAGCAGGTGCCCAAGCGAGACTCTCTTATCGTGGCAGGAGACTTTAACACTTCCCTGCGACCGAGCCCTCCCTTGGTGGGCACGCATGTGAAGCCACCCACGGAGGATCGCCCCGACGAATCCCATCTGTCTAATCTGCTGCTAAGGTTGCGCCTGGTTGCCCTTAACACCTGGCACTGCGACCACATTGCCACCTTCGCTCAAGGTGGCGTGGAATCGCAAATCGACTTTGTCCTTACTAAGGAATCTACAGCAGGAGGCAAGGCCAAGCGATCTGCTCCCTGGACGGACTGCCAGCTGGGAAGCTGGAAGAAAGGCGGACACTATCCGATCAAAGCTGACATCCCCCTCCAGCATCATTGGTTGCTCCCACCTCATAAGGGCAGCATGCGTCGCTATGATTCCTTAGCTCTTCAGGCATCAGTCAGAGAGGACGATGACACAGCCAAGGCACTGCATAGTTGGATAGCCTCCAGGATAGAGTCCTGTCAAGACCCCACGGAATGGAATGCACTGCTGCTTGAAGGCGCGGAACGTTTTTTCCTTAAAATCCCAAAAACACGACAGATCCCGCTAGAGTCAGAGACTCGTCGTATGTGGAGGGCCAGGACCTCCCACAGGGTTGACAACACAGCTCCCTCAGCACAGCTGATCGAGTCAAATCAAGCAATGGCACAGCCTCCTAGGTCGAACACGATACCTCAGCCGGAAACCGAGGCTGAGCTGGCGCAGGTCGCACACAGACAAGCTGTGAAGCAAGCCAAGAAAGAAAGAATAGCGAGCTTCATAGCGGAGGTCGACGCGAGCATAGCAGAAGGTGACCAACACATCTCGTTTCAGACCCTTAAAAAGCTGCAGCCTTGGCAGCCAGCGCGTCGGGCTCAGCTCAAGGACGCCACAGGACATCTCCTGGGCCCAGCGCAGGAGCTTGCTACACTCAGGGAATACGCGAATCAGGTATTTGCGGCTCACCCTCCACTAAGGCCTATGACTGGAGCTTTTCCAGTCTTGGAGTCATCCAAATTAGCCGCTCACATTCATTCAATCAAGCCCAACAAAGCTGCGCCAGACGGCGCCGCACCTGCGGCTGTATGGAGACTTTGCAGTGATGTTGTCGCACCAGTTCTTTCCCGACACGTAGCGGCTAAACAGGCAGAGGACAGTCTTGAATCAGATCTCATCGACGCAGATCTGTGTCTAATCCCCAAACCGGGCAAACCATCAGACAAGCCAGCAAACTTGAGACCTCTAGGTATCTTGAGACCGGATGCTAAAGGACTGGCTGGGGCGGCCAGAGAGGCGCTCCAACCCCTGACTCTCTCGTTCCTAAAGCACATGCCACAGTTTGCCTACCTCCCAGGTCGTGGGCTATCAGATGCGCTAGAACGAGTCGTGTGTCATCTGCGCGAGGCTAGATCTTTGTTAGAGCAGGCTCACCCCACGAGACATGCTATTCAGCAAGGCACACAAGTGCCTCCTCTAGTAGGAGGTTTGACCTTTGCTCTAGACCTAATTAAGCCAGGCGTTTGACACAGTCTCTCGCCAAGAGATTATCGGTCTCCTTCAGAGTGAGGGAGCCGATCAGGACACAGTCCACCTCGTTCAAGCTCTGCACGACGGATCCAGATATGTCCTGCACGCCCAGGGTGACTCCACCTCAGTCGAAACAACAGCAGGCATAAAACAAGGCTGCAAGCTCGCTCCCACGCTATTCTCGTTCCTCACAGGCGACCTTTTCCGATCTCTGGTCGACTTATTCGGCGCCGAACAGGTTCTGAAGTTCCTGACGGGCTATGCTGACGACCTCACGCTTCATAGGACAATCCGTTCCGAAAAAGATCTCAAAGCTATCCACGCACTTATAGCTGCACTACTGGAGGAGGTCCGAAAACATCGACTCCGTGTCAACACCGGCAAGTGTGTAATCTTGGTAAAGCTGGCAGGTAGAGAAGCACAAACTGTCACCAACAAACACAGCTGCTGGATTACCAACCCCAAGGGAGAGCAAGTCCGAGGATGGCGCATCGGGCCCAATAAGTCCTTCCCTGCTTTCCAGTGGGTATCCTCCAGCAAGTACCTAGGCGTTATGATCTCCTACAACCACTTTGAGCTGCAGACTTTGCATTTTCGGATAGGGGAGGCAAAGCAAAAGCTGCATCAAGTTCGCCAATTCGTCTACAACCGCAGGTATGCAAGCACCATGTCGCGCCTCAAGGTGTGGCAGAGTACTGCTTGAGCACCTTGACGACTGGCTTATCAGACGTAGGTCTAAGCGAAGAAGCGGCCAAACAGCTTCGCAGCTGGCACGCCTACAAGGTACGATCAGTGCTGAACTTACCGGCTCACACTACACGAATCACCACCAAGGATCTTTTCCAGCTCTACAGTATCCAGGACCCTGTCCAAGCACTGCAGTCTAAGCTAAAGAAACGACTTCGCAAACTAGAGCGACGATCAGTGCGAAGCCCGGACATCACGACAGACCCCTCGGCTCTGCAGGTCATCCGCGACAAGCTGTCCTTCCTGTCACAACTTCCTGAACCAGCGGACCACCCGGTCACCTCGTACGAGTGCACGCTCTGCGATGCCTCCTTTGAGACGTCAAATGGATTACACTTGCATAAGTCGAGGGTTCATCCGGCCAGCATCGATCGCTTTGTGCCTTCAAGCTTCGATAGAAAACTCCACGCAGTAGATGGGATGCCGCAATGCGCGGCATGTAAGCGCAAATTCCATCAATGGAAAGGCCTACGTGACCACTTGTTGTCGGGAGCATGTCCGGAGCCTCAGAAGCTTCGTTCAGTAAACGAGACTGACAAACAGTCCAGTCACCCTGAGATCAAGACACTCTCCCAGCTGCGACAGGACATAGCTCTGCTCCCACAACACCGCATTGCGGAGCTTTCGAGGACTGTGGATGCTAAGGTGCTCAATCATCGATGCCTAACGTGTGATTTCTGGACTTTTGACCACACAAAAGTCAAATCACATTTTCGACAGGCGCATCCGAAGGACTGGTCACGCCTGCACAGGCGAGCCGTCAATATCTGTCAGGGCTACTCGCCTCAGCTAGCCAAAGGCCACCCATGCTCCTTTTGCGGCTACAAGGTCTATGACCGCAGACTGCACCCGGAGCAATGCCCGGTGCTCTATCAGGTCAGCACGCAGTGGCTGCGAGGACAACCTGAAACAGAAGTTGATCCTGTTGTCCCGCCCCCCAGGCCTCAAACAAAGTCGCTGGCCCACTTTTTTCGACCTAGAGCGAATGGCACAGCCTCAAACTCGTCGAGCACAGCTCGTCATCCTACCACAGACTCGAATCTAGAGCCGGATTACCAGGTTCCTAGGAATACAGAGCCACAGTCCGCAGGCACGCACAAACGGGCCTTGACTAACACGTCAAACTCCTGCTACGCTAATGCTCTCTTCCAGGCCTTGCATCAGATCTCGAGCTTTGGGTACGATCTAGGCGCCTTCCAACCAGTCCTAATCCATCTTGGGGACGAGACGGCCCCCAGACTTCTGAACTTATTCGGATTGTTTGAATTTCGCCATGCCATTTCTGGCTGGCGACTGGATGGCAGGCAACACGATGTTTCAGAATTTCTCCTCCACCTGCAGAACAAACCCATGGGATCCCTTCAGCATACTCAGTGGCAGGGTCGCACCGA